AAATTCTGTAATTAATTACTCACCCTCATGTCCTACCTTCATCTTCAAAACACAAATTAGGATATTTTAGATAAAATTCAGGAGCTCTCTCATCCTCCATATACACTACCTGACAAAAGTCTTGTTGCCTATCCAAGTTTTAAGGACAACAAATAGTATTATAAAAATAATAATTTTTTTCTAGTTGATCATTTGTTATCAGAAGTGGCTTATATGAAAGGCAAATGCCTCTAGATTACGCTTATTTTGCCAGAATAAAATATGATCATGCCTTGATTTTTAATTATATAATTAGGACAGTAAGGTCTGACTTTGCTTAAACAAATGTCTTGTCACGTAACAGAAATAATGTACACTATAGAATACAACGTCATGGTGCAGTGGAAAAAGAATGAATACTTTGAATGACTCCCATGAGCTTGCAATGACTCAAATGACTAATTAATAAAGTCATCTGGAATGGCAAAGAAAGCATTCTTGCAGGACTCCCAGAGTTCATCAAGATTCTTTGGATTCATCTTAAATGCCTTCTCATTCATCTTATCCTAGACATGCTCAATAATTTTCATATCTGGTAACTGGGCTGGCCAATGCTGGAGCACCTTGACCTTCTTTGCTTTCAGGATCTTTGATGTGGAGGCTGAAGTATGAGAAGGAGCGCTATCCTGCTGAAGAATTTGCCCTCTCCTGTGGTTTGTAATGTAATGGGCAGCACAAATGTCTTGATACCTCAGGCTGTTGATGTTGCCATGCACTGCTGATCTCTCGCACACCCCCATACTGAATGTTACCCCAAACTATGATTTATCTTTGCGTCCATGCAGGTTCCAGTAGGTCTTCTGCAGTATTTGTGATGATTGAAACGTAGTTCAAAAGATGATTCAGCTAAAAAATCGACCTTCTGCAAGTTGTCCAAATGATCAACTAGAAGTCAAGTTATTATTTGTTGCTCTTACAACCGGAATCGACGACAAGAGTTTTGTCAGGTAGTGTACAGAAACATTTCAGAAAAGGGAACTAAAAACATTGTCAAAACTTTTAATGGGACTTCACAGGGTAAACAGTAGTCATGCAAATTTCCAAAACACTGTATATTAAAGAATGTTGGAAATTGTCAGATATTGGCGTCTATAGTTAGAAAAAAACATAGAGATCAATGGCCACTATTTTTTAACATTCTTCAAAATATCTTTTTTTCAGTTAAACAGGAGAAAGAAACTAATAGAGGTTTATAACAAATGGACAAAGAGTAAACTGAAAAAAAAACTCACATTGCATCATTTAGTTTTTCTGCAGTATATATTGTGATATTCAATTCATCTGGGGTAATATATTACATATCTCTATTTGTGCAGAATTTGTTATTTCAAAATGGTTGGGGTGATTTTAAAGTGGAGTGCATCTACGTTAATTATTTTAAACGAGTTTTAGCGGAAAAACATGTAAATGAGAGGGAAAATGAAGTTATCTGCTACATGTTCTGCTAAGTGTTATTGGCATTTGGACACAAATATGTAAAAATCTAATGTAAAATGAAAGCCCTCACTATTAGCTACACATTATCATTTCTTGTGCCTGAACGCTTTCAACTCACTTGATATCTTTAACAGAAATAAAAATGGCAAATTATAAACTTTAAATCAAATGCGTAAATTTGCCATTAATCTATAAGCTCCTGGTCAACAATAACCCACACTTGATATTGATGTGACTATTGCAGATGTGCACATTGCGATATCAATGCTTAAATTATATAATATGCATCCCTAGAGTAAACAATGGCAACATTTTCTTTTTTTAAAGTGAATTATCTCTTAAATTTGACATGCGTGTGATATTGATCTCTTATTCGACAGATTTCAGAGTATATTTGCTCTCTTTTGTATGTTATTTCACACTCAGGCCTGTTGATGGCTGTCTAAAGCTATGGAGAGAGCACATGTGTGTTTTGTGTGTGTGTGTGTTTGTGTCTGTGTGTGTCTGTATGTGTCTGTATGTGTCTGTGTGTGTGTGTGTGTGTGTGTGTGTGTGTGTGTGTGTGGCATGTGCCCAGCTGTTCTTTTGCATCTGCCTGCCTTCACTTTGGTATTTGTGGCTTGGGATGTTTCAGAAGGAGACTTTTGTGCCATGTCACAAACACTTTATTTTTTATATCTTGTAAAGTTTTATTTATGGATTTAACAGTCTGATATTAGATTCACAGGGGCTTGAATGTCATAAAGAGTTTGTCACAGACCATTTTTTTTGTCTATTGTTAGACATCAGAAATCAGAAGCATGACAAAAATGGTCATACATACACATTTACACACAAACTGACCACCAAACTCTGCTTTCAGATGTCACCTCTATTTTTTTAGTATATGTTATTTTCACAATATATGACAAAATGGTACAAAAATGCATGGGTTTATTAAATTTTGACAATTGAAAAAAGTATTTTAAAACAAATTTTCATGGTTGAAACAACTTCAGTCTTTGACCTTTTGGTCTTTGTCTTTGGATGCATCAAATGGAAGTTATAACAGTTACATTAAAACAATGGCAATGGACCCTTTTCACAAGACTATTATGACACGTGTAATGGTCATCATAATCTTAAATCCTTGAAAGTTTAATATTTAAATTTAAAAAAATGATGTACATTTATATGAATTTATGTATGTCATCATTAAATCATCTTTGCATCAAATTACAAAAAACAAATTGTCACTTATGTGCGGCTATGGCCAAGGCAGTACATTTGACGTTGTTCTCTATTCTGACTACAGACCACAGTTTTTTCCTTTTTTTTGAAAGTCTTGGAAACAAGATTGAGGAGTTTTTTATTATTATTATTATTTTAGCAAATGAGATTGAATAAAAAATGATTTGTTGTACTCTCCCATACACTGAGCTCTGAGTTTACTCAACTATGACAACTCCTGCTACTGAGTAGTCATAGGCTGGTATAAGGTTCTGATAGCATAATAACCTTGGATAAAAACATTAGTTTCACGGTAATATATTTACTGCTCTAAAAAGTTCTTCTGAAATGTTAAAAGATTTTCCTCTCTTGAACAAAATATATTTTATATTAGGAAATATTTATAATATTTTTAAACAGTAAACAGGTCAGGCATTAGTTTCAACAACACAGATTTCTTTACAACAAATTTAAAAAACCTATACATACCTTAGGTTCGGTACTGAATAACAGAAAATTTTAGTGGTTTTAAAACCTTAACTTCTTTAAACCGTGGTAAACCTTGAGACCGATCGTCCCATGCCTACTACTAAGAAACCTGGAAACATGAAAAGGGTCCATTGATGGTTTCAAACAGTCAGAAAAAAATATATTTGTTACTGAATCAAGAGACTCTACAAAAAAATGTTGTTTCATCCATGAAGTGTTTGAGCGAGTAATTGAATCATTCATTTAAATGAGACTTTAATGTTTTTAAATTTTGGAAAATTACATATGTAAATAATCATAATGTATACACTACCTGACAAAAGTCTTGTCGTCGATCACAGTTGTAAGAGCAACAAATGCTGAAATTTTTTCAGCTGAATAATCTGACGAACCGCATCCCAATCATCACAAATACTGCAGAAGAACTATTGGAACCCGCATTGACCCAAGATTCTCATAGAAATCAGTCAAGTTCGGTGAAGAAAAAAACCATGGTTTGGGGTTACATTCAGTATGGGGGCGTGCAGAGTAGATGGCAACATCAACAGCCTGAGGTATCAAGACATTTGTGCTGCCCATTACATTACAAACCACAGGAGAGAGCAAATTCTTCAGCAGGATAGCGCTCCTTCTCATACTTCAGCCTCCATATCAAAGTTCCAGAAAGCGAAGAAGGTCAAGGTGCTCCAGGATTGGCCAACCCAGTCAGCAGACATGAACTTTATTGAGCATGTCTAGAGTAGGATGAAGGAGGCATTGAAGATGAATCCAATGAATCTTGGTGAATTCTGGGAGTCCTGCAAGAACGCTTTCTTTGCCATTCCAGATGACTTTATTAAAAAGTGATTTGAGTCATTGCAGAGATGTATAGATGCAGTCCTCCAAGCTCATGAGAGTCATATATTCATTCTCCATGACTTTATATTCTATACTGTACATTATTTCTGTAAAGTGACAAGACTTTTGCCTAAGCATAGTCAGAGCTTACTGTCCTAATTAAATACTTACAAATCAAAGCATGATCATATTTTATTTTGGTAAAATAAGCATAATCTGGAGGCCTTTGTCTTTCATATACGCCACTTCTGATACTAAATGATCAACTAGAAGTCAAGTTATTATTTGTTGTTCCTAAAACTTGGATCAGCGACAAGACTCTGGTCAGGTAGTGTATATCTACTGCTTGTCTAAAAAAATGCTTCTTGATTTATATATTTTTTTAGATATTTGTACGGGGAAAAAAGACAAAAAAAAATCTAAGTAAGAACAGCTTTTTTTAAAGTGTAATTGTGGGTAAATAAGTAAATAAAATAATAATAGTAATCATATTTAAATTAGTCATTCATGTACAGTACGAAAAATGTTAGCTCCTTTTCAGATTTGCTAAAGATTGCATATTACAAATACTGCATACAATTAGCCTGTGTTTTTCAGTCCACGTCTTCCATGCAGTACGTGTACAGTAAGACTGCGTGTACCCTGCCTGACTGGTACACATCTTGTTGTATCACACTGACACACACACACACATCATTTGTGCTGTGGCATGCAGCTTCATTGTTGTGCTCTCTTTCATACGGGCAATCTTTCGCTGTCTCTCTCTATCTATCGCTCTGCCAGAGAGTGAAATCTCAGTGCTGTTGTGTCTGCTCTCTGTGCTCGCAGTAGGTTTCACTCTGCTTCACGCATTCGATTTTATTAGATATAATCCTAACTTCTAATGGTAGCTTTAACCTCTCAGTGTCTGCATTGGGTTTGTTTTTGTGATGGGAATGCATTTAAATGGACGTTTAATCACACGCTTCCTCCACTTCCTCTCTCCACAGGAAGAATGCAAGCAGATCATGGCCCGACAGAAGTCCAACTCGCAGTCGGACTCTCATGATGATGAAGTGTCTCCTCCTCCTCCAAACCCTGTGGTGAAGGCCCGGCGCCGGAGAGGTGGTGTCAGCGCTGAGGTCTACACGGAGGAGGATGCCGTCAGCTACGTCAGAAAGGTTGGAAAAAGTGGAAACGCTTTGGATTGTGTAACCATTGTCAAGTCAAGCCAAGCTTTGTTGTCTACTTGTACAAACAGCCAAAGTGTCTGCCATGTCACAATATACCAAATTATTCTAGTAACTCTCTTGGGTACCACTTTAAATTAAGTGGCCTTAACTAATATGTACTTACACAGGAATTAATAGTTTGTTACAATGTACTTATTGTGTAAATACATGTATTTATTGTGTACTTATTGTTAATTAAATACCTGTATGTTTTTACAACTGTAAATAACTTCTCTAATTACATTTGTAAATACACTGCTGACCATTCCCTACACCTTGACCCACCCTTAAACCTACCCACACCATCAAACCTGTCCATAACCCAACCCCTATCCCAACTCAAGAGCACCACAAGTGTTCTCAAATACATTATGAACACAGTAAGTACATTGTATTTATTTTTTGATGCCAGTACATAGTAGTTAAGGACACTTAATATAAAGTGGGACCCTCTCTTGTAATTCACCTAAACATTTCTTAACTTAAATAATAATTGTTTAAGGTTTATGTTGATATTTGTAGGGAATCGGATGCAATCAGAGTACGGTGGTTTGTAAAGCTTACAACACCTGCTGGTAAAAACTGAGCTCAGAATCAATTCAAGAGAGAATAGAATTTTGAAAACTTGTGTTGTGCTGCAGATTCTAGATAAAACAGTGAATTATATCACAATAATTATCATTTAATAAGAAAAAAAAGAAAATGAATGAATGAAGCTCTTTTATTATTGATTGGCCATTGTGTTTACATGTTCAACTGAAATTGCTGTGATTGGCTCTGAAATAATCACTTCACACATGAGATTCACCAAGTGCTAACACAGAGACATGGACACTGGAGTGTTTCAAAGCCACGTCTATCAGCTGATCCATCAGCAGATCTCACATATCATAGGTGGATCAACTGATAGACTTGGCTTTCAATATTTCAGTGTCTATGTAGCCAGCCTGATCTCATGAGGAAACTTAACTAGTTTATGTTTTGTCAGTTTAGTGGCTAATTTGCACAAAAATGTAAAATATTTAAAAGGAGGCGTGGCTCCAAACTTCACCCCTAAACCCAACCGTTATTGGGGGATAAGCAAAGCATACTAAATTGTATGAATGAGATTCGACTCCATACTAATTAGCCACTAAATCATTCATTCATTAAGATTCCTTCGGCTTAGGCCCTGATCCATCAGAGGTCACCACAGCGGAATAAACCGCCAATTTATCCAGCATATTTTTTACACAGTAGATGCCCTTCCAGCCCCAACCCAGTACTGGGAAACATCCATACACTCTCACCTTCACACGCTAATTTAGTTTATTCGGTTCTCCTATAGCGCATGTCTTTGGATTGTGGGGGAAACCGGAGCACCTGGAGGAAACCCACGCCAACACGGGGAGAACATGCAAACTCCACACAGAAACGCCAGCTGGCCCAACTCAAACCAGAAACCTTCTTGCTGTGAGGCGACAGTACTAACCACTGCACCACCGTGCTGCCACCACTAAATCAAAGAGTTACAAATTACTGTGGCAGCATTGATTTATCTGTATTACCGCTCAAATGTGAGCAAAGATGACGTTTTTAAAATCATTTTAATACGAAATCAATACTTTTAACAACCCTACTTAAGATTAGACGTTGTGCGAATGAATCACTCAATTTGACAAGAAAATAAATGGTAAAGAAATAATAATAAAAAAACGAATAAAATGGTAATAAATAAAAAACAAAATAGTTTAATATTCTTTTACATAATTGCTATGAGAACATTTTTGTAATAGGCTTGCTTTATGGCTAGTAATTGCGATTAATCGCATGATTTGCAATTAATCGCAACTTAACAGCACATTTGATATGTTTTAAATAAGGGTGTCACGATCCTCCAAATCCTCGGTTCGATTACATTTTCGATTCTAAAGGCACGATTCGATTAGATTTTCGATTATGAATAATTAATTAATTAATGACCAATTAATTATTTGTAGCCTACCGTTTAAACTACCTGACCTGCATGGTCATTGTTTTACCCATAAACAAACCATACAGTAAATGAATAAAGGTAAGATACACACATAATTACCACCTGTCAAGCACTTTTTCTGCGGGACTCGTGAATAGGCAGTGATCTGTGTCGTTATAATGACGTCGGTAAAAAAAGACACACAACCAACAGGAACCAGCCAACAGTATCTAAGGTGTTCGCTAAAATGACTAAGTACAAGTGAGTGAAAGATTGAAGCAGTCCTCTGACTGTGCGTCTGTGTCTGTGTGGTCACGTGATGTGTACTTTCAGAGGTAGAGAGGAAGGAGGGCTGCTCAGAAATGCTACACACCACTGTGGATGTCAAATCGTTGTCGTTCTAAAATGCCATTTAAAAACAAAGACAGTGTAAACAGGGCCTGAGTGTGTACTTTTCGCGAGCGGATTTGCAACGGGGGCGGGCGGAGGATCGCGATGCCGGTGTTGTCTATCGGACGAACCGTACGTAATACGTACATAGCAGAGCTTGCAAAACTGTGTTTTTTTTGTCGACAACACGAACGTTGTCAACATAACTCACTGGAAATCCAAAATGCTTACACACCGGCGACTTCATTGAAAGAGGAGAGGGTTTAAGCTCTGTCGACGGGTCTCCTGCTTCTGCAGTTTAACAAGCACTTCAACAAGCCTGTTTTTTTCCCGATGGCAAGCCAAGCAAGTGACACCCCTAGTTTTAAATGTAACATGATTAGACGTTGATATTTGGTTGATTTTAGGATGGACGTTAGACATTAATTTGATTGATCTTCATTTCCAAACAAAATCCACCATCCCCATGTTGTTGTGGTACATTGGGGTACAATGTAAATATGACGTTATGTTGACATTCTGTGCCTGCAGGGTTAATTTACAATAAGAATAAACATGGATTTATTTTGTCTTGTTGACAGGACCATCAGATATTGTTATGTACATGATTTTACCATTTGTACCTTTTTCATTCTCCATCATTTCCAATTAGTGATTATAAAGTATCCTTTATTTTCTGCATATTTTTCCAACCTCGGCCAAAATGAAACTAGTGTATAAATTAGTGTTAATTAATTTGCCTTAATGCAGTGTTTCTCAACCACATTCCCGGAGTTCCACCAACATGTCTCCTTTATCTGTCACATTCATTACAGTTCTTTCAGTCTCTGCTAATGAGCTGATGAACTGAATCAGGTGTGTTTGGTTAAGGAGACATGGAAAATGTGCAGAGCTGGTGGTCCCCCAGGAACCTGGTTGAGAAACACTGCTTTAATGCATAAATTTTGACTGGTCTACATTGTTATCTTCACTTATAGGTCATTCCGAAGGACTACAAGACGATGACGGCCCTGGCCAAAGCCATCTCTAAGAACGTGCTGTTCGCCCACCTGGATGACAATGAGAGAAGGTAAACGCACGTCATTCCAGCTCATTTGTTTGCTCCATGATCATCAGATGAAGTGTTTCTTCTGCATCGGGTTGCGTTCGGTTCCAGCTTGTTTCTTGTTGTCAGCGCCCAGTCAGAGTGAGGCGTGAGTCGTGTCAGAGGGGCTTCTGGGTAGCCACTGTATTCGCTCTGTTGCTCTCGTTGCCACAGCAACCAGCGTTGAAATAAAGCGAGCCATTGTGTCTGACAGCGGTGGAAAGTGTGTTTTAATGTGGGTGTGGGGAAAACAGTGTTGCTTGGATTGTTTCAATTTGAGTCTTTTTGGAGATGCCACAAATCCTAAACAACGACGAGAAGGAGGGGGGAAGAAAAGCCTCTCCCAGTCTGCAAGGAATTTCGCTCAGGTTGCTCCGTCTTTTGTGTACGGAATACAGTTTCACTGCTGAGGAGAATCCATTATCCTTACAGATCCACCATGAAGAGAACAAACTCTCAGCTTTCTGCTTTTAAAGCCTCTGTGAGAACACACCAAACCTGCCCAAAAAACATCCAGCTTGCGCTCAGCTGGAAATTCACCACACTTATTATCAGGCTGTGTTCGCCAGGCTGCAGATGCGCGCCATCGTGTTTTAAAGGGATAGTTCACCCTAAAATTAACATTGTGTGATCATTTACTCATTTACTTGTTTCAAACTTTTATGATGAAGGTTTTCTAAATTAAGAATATAGGAAAGCATTGACTTTTATAGCAGTTGTTTTTCCTACTTTGGAAGAGAATAGCTATGTCTCATTTCAGAGGCTGCATCCTCCATAGCAGGGATTCCCAAACTTTTTTATTCCGGAACCCACCTAGGCAAGTAATTCAATCTCAAGACCCAACATAATATTTTATTATGGAAAAATGGGTAAAAAAAAAGTATCCATTCAAAGCAGTCAAAAATATATGGTGTGCGGCTTTTTGGATTTTGCGATTTGAAATGCACAAAATGAGGCTCGAAGTGCTTTTTGTGGGATGCTGGCTGTAACTGTGATCATTTTTTTGTTGAAAAAGATACTCTTCTTTTTTTTAGAAGACAATATGATCAACCTTTGATCAAGCCCCTGGATTATGATCAAGACCAGTCACATCGCAGTAAATTTCACTGCTAGTGTATAGTCATAAGAAATCAATAGCTTTTTGATCGACTACTGCAAGCTGGGAAAACGTCAGATAAATATGCCAATGCAATTAACATTATTGCTGAATAGATCTAATATTTACACATTTGCTTGAGGAAGGAATGATGGGGGTAGTTACATTACTATTACTATTTTCCATAACATCTACGCCCTTCCATAATATTAGCTGACGTTAAAATTAACAGATAGCACTATAGCTATTTATTGATTAGCAATCTGTCAACGTTGGGATGTAAATAATATGGGACAACAAAAAGCTTCAAACGATAAAATACATAGCAAAAATTAGAAAATATTGACAATAAAATAAAAGGTTTAGCCTATTAAAATCAATGGCCTATCCAGAAATTAAATAAAGCTATAAAATCTACTTAATTTTTAATTGTATTTGCATATTGATTAAAGTTACTGTAGTTATTTAGTGAAGAGCAGCAAATGAATCTCTCATTGTGTTTTGCAATGAGATTTATTAAATGAAGAAAAGATTGAGGTAGCTTCTTCCACCGGAGCAAACTCCATTTTTACTGTTGATATTTGGTGCCAGTTAATCAGAAAGTGACATTTTGTTTGCTATGACTCGTTTGATTTGCTGCTTTTTTTCGAACAACTTTTATACGTTAATCTAGTTTTGCACATTAAGTTAATTAGCATTTTTGGATGGAAACATTGGAACATTTGGATGGAAACATATATATATATATATATGTTATATGTGTGTGTGTGTATGTGTATATATATATATATACACACACACACACACACACACACACACACACACACACACACACACACACACACATAACAAAACTGGAGGGTGGCGGTAGATGGGTCTGAAATACAGGAGACTTCCAGGGAAAAACAGGAGTGTTGGCACTGCCAAACCTGATGACGCAATCCATGCAACAATTTAAATGACCACAGGGAAATGTAAAAAAAAAATTTTATTCTTGGTTTTAATTTTGAGACACACTGTGCGCAAAATTGGCGCTACAGATCGTTTACATTTGCTGTGAGGAATCATTTCAGAACACGGGATAGTGAAAGGGTCATTGATGGATGACGTCAAGTTTTCTTCCATGTTTGGCTCGTCGTCATTGTCATTCAGTCTGACAGTATGACAGCTAAGATCTTACAGTGTGACATGGAAGCCATGTTCATGCAGTCTGACAAGCTAAAACTGTTAAGGATTATAAAAACATCGCACAGTGTGAGCCGGCCTTTAGGTGAAAGTGAAAAACTGCAAGATTTGGATGTTTATATTAGTTTTAAATCTTTTAAATGTGAATTTTGTCACTGTTTTGCAGCACACTAGCTTATAGATATCCTTAACGAACATTTGGAGACTAACATAAAAAAAAAACATTATTTGAATTTGACAGGACCTTTAAGATTGACAGAATTGGCTGTTATGAATGCTTTTATCAGATCTAGAGGCAGATTGAGCTGGTGAAGAGTGATTATCTGTGCATGATCCACTTATGCTGTCGTGTTTTTGACTTCGTAATTCTGACTCAGATTTGTGCAGAACATTAATGTTGTTGCCATGGTTACGGTATCTTGGCTCCTAGCAACGCAATGTTCTGCATGTGTGTCTGTGGTGCTGTCAAAGCATCATACACTGAGATCACAGCCGAAAATGACTCTGCAGTATCTGGTAAATAACAGGAAAATCACATTATGTCAGGATCGTTTCATTGGTTAATAGAGTTGTGCTTGTCTGGCATGTTGCTAATGCAACCTTCAGGATTTCTCCAGGCATGCATTTTGATAACTTTTTATAAACCTTTGTTAGTTTTTTCTTTGAGTAAATATATATATATATATATATAAATGTAGAATATCTTATACAATATTGTTACAGTATGTTACAAAAGATTTCAGGTTAAATCAAATGGCATTACTTTAAACATTATATTTTCCCCTACATACTTATTTAAAAAAAACATTATTTATTATTTATTTGCAATTTTGATTAAATCATTTTGTATTTTTTGGTTTATGTTTAAAGTCCAAAAATAAATGTAAAATGTAAAAATACATGAAAAGATTTTTATTTTAATTCCACCATTTTAGTTTGTGTTTTACTTGTGTGTTTAAAAAAATGAAATAAATGCAGATTGTTTAGCATTAGAGACATTAGATGTGGTAAATTATTATTTAAATGAGTTTTATAAACATTGTATTACTATTTAAAGTGTTGCCCACGAGTCACGAGCATCCAAATGTAAGCACACCAGTGTTAGCAATGGCACAGATCTGGCTGTTGGTTCTTACAGGCTGATCACTGGAGACACAAAACCAGATGCATTACAGCTCAATGACAGATCCTGTAAGGGAGTGTCTGGCATGTGGCAAAGCCCACCCGAGGGCCACCCTGTGGGTTTCTGTGTTGTCCTGTGTGGTTTTATTGCCATGGCAAATGAAAGCAATTGCCTCACGGTGGCATGGGAATAAACCCACTGGTATATTTCAAGAGAGGCACTGCAGGCAAAACAATTCTTTTTATGCATCTGTCCATTTTTGGCTTTTTTAAAAACATGTTTTTAAGTCTGATGCAAAGAGACCATCTAAAATGCACATTTAAGTGTTTCTTTTATAGCACTTTTTTCAATTTGTGTCTGTAGTTTGCAGTTACAATACTTGTTAAAAATAGCAGTGCTTTACACCTGTTCCAAGTTTAGTTTTGTTTTTAGATTTATAGGACTAATTGTAAATTTTGTTTTGTGTTTTATTTTGTGTTTTGTTTTTTGTTTTGTTTGTTTTGTTTTGTTTGTTTTGTGTTTTGTGTTGTTTTGTGTCTTATTTTGTGTTTTGTTTGTTTTGTGTTGTGTTGTGATGTGGTGTTTTGTGTTGTGTTTTATGTTTTGTGTTTTTTGTTTTGTTTTGTGTTTTTTGTTTTTTGTTTTGTATGTTTTGTTTTGTTTGTTTTGTGTTTTGTGCTGTTTTGTGTCTTATTTTGTGTTGTTTGTTTTGTGTTGTGATGTGGTGTTTTGTGTTGTGTTTTATGTTTTGTGTTTTTTGTTTTGTTTTGTGTTTTTTGTTTTGTATGTTTTGTTTTGTTTGTTTTGTGCTGTTTTGTGTCTTATTTTGTGTTTTGTTTGTTTTGTTTTGTGTTGTGATGTGGTGTTTTGTGTTGTGTTTTATGTTTTGTGTTTTTTGTTTTGTTTTGTGTTTTTTGTTTTTTGTTTTGTATGTTTTGTTTTGTTTGTTTTGTGTTTTGTGCTGTTTTGTGTCTTATTTTGTGTTGTTTGTTTTGTGTTGTGATGTGGTGTTTTGTGTTGTGTTTTATGTTTTGTGTTTTTTGTTTTGTTTTGTTTTGTGTTTTTTGTTGTTTTGTTTTGTTGTGTTTTGTGTTTAGTTATGTGTTTTGTGTTTTGTTTTGTTTAGTTTTTAGTTTTTTTTAGTTTTGTTTTGTGTTTTGTTTTGTTTTGTTTGTTTTGTTTTGTTTTATGTTTTGTGTTTTTTGTTTTGTTTTGTGTTTTATTTTGTGTTTTGTTTGTTTTGTTTTGTGTTTTGTGTTGTGTTTTATGTTTTGTGTTTTTTGTTTTGTTTTGTGTTTTTTGTTTTGTATGTTTTGTTTTGTTTGTTTTGTGCTGTTTTGTGTCTTATTTTGTGTTTTGTTTGTTTTGTTTTGTGTTGTGATGTGGTGTTTTGTGTTGTGTTTTATGTTTTGTGTTTTTTGTTTTGTTTTGTTTTGTGTTTTTTGTTGTTTTGTTTTGTTGTGTTTTGTGTTTAGTTATGTGTTTTGTGTTTTGTTTTGTTTAGTTTTTAGTTTTTTTTAGTTTTGTTTTGTGTTTTGTTTTGTTTTGTTTGTTTTGTTTTGTTTTATGTTTTGTGTTTTT